TTCTGCCTCAGGTTCAGCTTCATCCTGTGGAAATAATTTATCATTGTTATTATAATCAGGGGGAGCCGAGGCTGCGGCAAAGAGAAAAGTTTCTTCATCATCATCATCATCGTTAGCGGCCTTTTTGGAAGGAAATTTCTCATAATCATGCTGTGGATTTAAAGCATTTTTAATTAACATTGTTACTGCACAAAATGTAGAAAACGAGCTAGATTAGAAGAGGAAGCTTTAGCTCCACGTTTAGACAAAGTATTCATTAAGATACTGATGAACATTTTACGTTCCTAGATTTGCTCTGGCCCATGATTAGATCACGGCTCTGGCTTCACAAAAACTTACTTACCCATCCTCGCTCTGACTGTCTCTACAGAGGGGCCTGCAGCACCCTGGGTAAGATCCTAGCTGCCCTGAAACGAGAAAAAGACTTACCTTTCCAGGGGTCCCACAACGTTGGGCACCATTTATGGGGGGCCAGCCCCCAAAAAGAGATTTAGAGGGTCCCTGGAAGGTGGGGCAGCGTCGGCAAATATTCTGGAGAAATAAGGAGAAAGAAAGAGACTGGACTCTGTCTAGTGCAGAAGCTGATTCTGTAGTAGGGATAGATATTGAAAGAAAGATGGAGGGATAGATATGAAGAGGAAGAAAGAGAAAGAAAGAAAGTGGACAACTGTTCAGTGAAATGAGCAGAAGCCATTTATTGGGACCAACCGTGAGTCTTTTATCCCAAACTTTCACATGTCAAGTCACAAGACTTTCACGTGAACACAAAGCCAGGTAGGTGGGGGGCATCCCCCACCCACCAGGTGTTTCCTTAGGCATGAGGAAGGACAATCCCAATCAAATCACAAGACTTTCACATGAACACAAAGCCAGGTAGGTGGGGGGCGTCCCCGCCCACCAGGCGTTTTCCCCAAGCATGAGGAAGGACAATCCCAAAGTTATCTCACTGTTCCTCATGTTTGGTTTATATTCCTCAAAAGCAATATAACTGACTGAAATCCTAATATCTTTCTTATCTGTGCTAATTTTACCTGTACTATAAACAACTCTTAATTATAGCTCAAACCAGTTCCTATAGAATGTGGCCCAGCCCAAAGATCAAGCTGGGCCACTTCCAGGAACAGTTGATTATGATCTCTTAACAAAATGGCTATCCTAAAATCCTATGTATCTACCTTAATTTCTATAAAAATTTCTAATTCCTAATCCTGATATATAAAGCTGATCGTCAGCAATAAATCTTCTAAAATAAAACCCAAATACAAACTGCAATTGTATTAAAGCCAAAACTGCAATTAGTAGAAAGTGGGAACAAAGAAATTTCTAAAGTTAGCTGTATTCTTATAAAACCTTAAAGTATCATGTTTGATCATGCTTGAACTAACATAATTCCCTCACGCAGCATGACCTATCCTACAATACTTTCTATGCATAAAATAAATTCAGTTTCTATTATAAGGAGAAAAAACTTACACTAATGGTAACTAAAGAACCGGTTTAAAAGAATGCAGCCTAGTCCAAAGTGGACGCTGGGCCCTTAGGAATGTGGCCCAGCCCAAAGTTCGTGCTGGGCCATTTCTGGTAACCCTAGATAATCATCTATACCATCTAAAGTTGGAAACAGTTCTCTAAATGTATATACTAATTCTACAAATATATTTTTTAAATCTTTAAGAAGCTTGTATCATGTATAAGGCTCCCAAATGTGATCTGAGTTTGAACTGTGTTAAGTTTAAAGCCGAAACCGCAGTCTGTGAGAAGCGGGAACAATGGATCCCTAGAGTCAGCCATGCCTGTCATATTCTCAGACCTTCATGCTTAGATCATCAAAATCCCTGCCAGTGGGTAATGCTAAACAACAAAGAAAGGAGGAGGGAATGGGCCTTCAGCTCCTGAACCAAACCTGGTGGTCTCAGGGTCCACAGTCCACCTGGGTCCCTAACGCTCAGGTGGGCCTCCACGGCCGGCTCTCAACATCGCCCAGGCTGGAGTGCAGTGGCACACTTACAGCCCTGCAGCCTCAACCTGCTAGGCTTATGTGATCCTTCTGCCTCAGCCTTCCAAGTAGCTGGAGCTACCTGTGTGCGGCACCGTGCCCAGCTAATTTTTTAATGTATTGTAGAGACAAGGTCTCACCAAGTTGCCCAGGCTGGTCTCGAACCCCTGGGCTCAGGCAATCCTCTAACCTCAGTCTCCCAAAGTGCTGGGATTATAGGATTGAGCCACTGCGCCCAGCCAACAGATGATTTTCACTTGCGTCCTGGACATTCAGAATGTTATTTTATGAGACCCTGGATCTTATTTAAATCTTTTATTTTAGCAGATCTTTCTGACACTTCTCTGGTGAGGAAAGAGAGAAGCCACCTCACTATTGCCGGGTGGAGGTTGAAGGGCAGGTTCCCTGCCTGCCTTTATTGATTAGGGAAGGCTGCCTCATTACTGATAGGTAAGGAGGAAGATCAAGTTTCCTGCTAGGCCTCTACAGATGCCACACTGCCTCAGAAGGGGAGGGCCACTTTATTATTTCCTTACTGACATCATGGGAGAACAGATATAAAAGTTCTGGCTCCTCTGTGGAAAACAGTGTGGTGATTCCTAAAAGATCTAAAAATCAACCTTCCATACCACCCCACAATCCCCCTACTGGAAATATACCAGGAAGGACTCAAATCACTCTATAAAAAACCTACCTGCACACATATGTTTATTGAAGCATTGTTCACAGTAACAAGAACATGGACCCAACCATGCTGTCCAGCAAAAGAGGACTGGATAAAAAAAATGTGGTAGATATACACGATGGAATATTACGCAGCCATAAAGAAGAACAAAATCATGAACTTCACAGCAACCTGGATGGACTTAGAGTCTATAATACCGAGTGATCTTTCACAGAAACAAAGAACTGAGGACCACATGTTCTCAGTCATAAGCGGACCTTGCACAATTACTGCAATACTATAAGAAAAGAATTGGCAGTAGCGGGAAGCTGCCTGAAGATGGGCAGGGAAGCGGGACTGGCAGTAGTGGAGTCTGCCTGGGGAAGGGAGGACACACCTCATCAACAAGGGTGCCTGCATAATGAACATTAATATGCCTAACTCTAAATTGTACCCTCCACATCTTTAACATAAAAAAAATTAAAAGGAAGAAAAATTCTTTATAGATATTGGGGTGACTGACAAGTCTGGAACAATGTCTGTTGAATGAAGGAGAATCTCAAAGCTACATTTTTTTGTATTAAAATTTGTACTTACGTTAGGCCAATTATTCTGTTGGATAATGACTTTCATAGTCATTCATTCCTGGTCACTTTCTTCAACAAATATTTTTTATGAGGTAAAATATCCATCAGATAACTTGCTTATCAAATAATTCTCGCAAATTAAGATATTCCAAGCAATCATGGAATCTCAAAATAAATCTGTGAAGTATTTGGAGGAAAAAAAGCTCTGGCTCCCCATGCAGCCTTCTCTGACCTTCTGTGGAGGGAGAGGTGGGTGATGGGAGGAGTCATCATCACAGCGGGGGGTGGGAATGCAGTCTTAGCTCCACAGGTGGCTTTTGCTGACAGGGGTGGGAGTGTCTTCCGTTTTTCAGTGGCATTTGCCTTGAGTAGGGCAGTTATCTGTCTTGCTAGGCTGCCCATTTCCTGTTCCTCTGGCTAGACAAAGCGGCTTTTATTGTCTTTGCCCATTGATATTTCTGAGTTGCTGACTTCTCCAGCATCCAGTCTAGGATACATTAGGAAAAAAGACAACCTAGGGAACACACCTCTGTGTTATTCCCTGGGTCCCAAGATCTCTGGTCAGCCTGCCCTCTTCTCTGTGCCTTTCAGAGTCGTCTTTTATTTGTTTTACATATAATTTTCAGAGTTTTTAGTTGGTCTGAGTGGGGAATGGAGATGGATGTACCTATTCCCTCTTGTCCCAGAAACAGAAGGGATCATGAGTTTTTTGTTTTGACTCTGATTTGCAGAAGGGAGCCTGGGAAAGGTTTTCTATCCTTGAAGAACAAAAGAACTGATTACTTTTCACTTGTTCTTTTTCATCCTACCTGTTTTTCCTAAAGCCGCCTGTCTTTGCTTTAATCCACATCTTCCTCGACACTTGCCTGCATGTGCTGAATTTGGGGACCTAGTAAGTAGCCTAAGGAACCAGGACAGGGTGAGAGCCACGACTCTGGAGAGACCCAGCAGTAGAGGAGAATTTTAAAGTTTTGGCCTTCAGAAACAACTTTAAGTTCTTCATCTATAATGATGGTTAATTAGGTGATTTGTCCAAAACATACAATAAGTGTGGGTTATGGAGGCAAAGACGTTACTGGAAGCTGGAGCAGGGTAGAATCGCAGTATATGGAGTTGTGGAGAGGACAGGCGAAAAACAGAGACCCCCGGGTGCTGCTTCTTGCTCTTATCCACCTGCTTCAAGGCCATGAGTTTCCAGGAACCAGCAGTAAGTCTCTCCCTAAGTGTGTTGAACAAGCATTTGTTGCATCCCTACTATGTTCAAGAACTTGTAGAACTAGGTCAAAAGACACCTAGATCCTGGCTCTCAAAAAGTGTATGGTACAGACACGTCTCCCTCTGTGGATTTCTTTCTCGTCCTATTTATCCCCTTCTAGAGCCATAGAGACAGACCTCACATGCCCTATCAGTCTCCTGATAGGTGGTTATTCCAGGGAGAGAGAACATTCAAAGCCAAACAAACATAGACATACAGAGGGGAAAAAACCTCTCACCCAGGCAGCCTGATCTCGCTGCAGGAGAGAGCATCACCTGAATTCCAAGCTAGTGCAAAGTGTGCCCAGGTGACTTACCTGCGGCTGGGCAGCTGCCATGGCACACTCCCCACACCTGACGCTGCTCAGGAAGAAGCCAGGTGGCTGCAACAGCTTTCCCAGTCGAAGAACACCTGGCTCAGCAGGCAGGGTGTCATCCTTGCAGCCGGAGGAGACAAAGCTCAGCTCTTTCTGATCCTTGGCCTGCCTGGGTGGTGACACGCTCCGGCGCACAGAGACCGTACAAGCCACAGGCAGAAGATGAAGCTTAGGAGAAAGCTCCCCACGGTTCTCTGCATTGGGCTGACTCTGGCCATTGCTGTCAATCTCCTTCTGGTATTTTATACCACGGGGGCTTTACAAAGCTTTGTTCTGGGGAGTCTCCATAAGGAACTTCGTTTTCCTCTGTCTGAGTTGGACGGGGCGGTAATACAGAGACTCTCCCACTTGGAGGTCGAATTGCAGCATCTGGGTAAGTTGATAATGCTAACTTGGAGGGGATGGTGTGTGTGTGTGTGTTTAGGGACACTTAGGAAAGAGGGAGGGGAAATCGATGGGAGGTCACCTTCTCGCCTCTCTGGGTTGCTCATTGAAGCATCTGACATGAATTTTTTTTTTTTGAGTTGGAGTCTCACTCGGTCGCCCAGACTGGAGTGCAGTGTCCGCTCCCGGCCACCGCAGCCTTGACCTGCTGGGCTCTGGCGATCCTTCCGCCTCAGCCTTCCGAGTACCCGGAATTAGAGGCGCGCGCTACCACGCCCGGCTGATTTTTTGATTTGTTGTAGAGATGAGGTCTCGCCTGCCCAGGCGGGTCTCAAACCCGCGGGCTCAGGCAATCCACTCACCTCAGCCTCCCAAAGGCGCGGGATGACAGGCTGAGCCACCGAGCCCGGCCTGACACGAATTTTATGCCTCCAAATGGAAGGTAGGTCTTGAGAATTAGGGGAGAAGTGGGAATTGGAGCAAGCAGTATAGAGCAGGGGAGCAGGGTGTGCATGTGAGTGGGGTGTGTATTTATGTGTGGGCATGCTTGTGCACATGTGTGATCATATCTACATATATGCAGGCAAAGAGACATACTAAGAATCCCCAAGAACCTTGGAATGTCTGGGCACAGCCCTGTCCTTAGGCCTGTGTGTTGCGGAGGCTGGTAAAGAGAGGTGGTAATCTCTAGGGCAAAGGCCTCCCTTCCTTTTTGCTGTGCACGCCAATCATGGACTAACGGGGGCTTAGGTAGAGGATCTAAGATCGAATCCTGATGTAGCCATTGTTTGTGGTTGTGTGACTTTGAGGAAGATCTCTCTCTCAGCCTCAGGGTCCTGGCTGTAAGTGGGGAGGATGATACTGTAATGGCAGATAGCAACCTGACCTCACAGGGTTGTGAAATACATGCGGAAGGATATCTATAAACTGCTACTTAACCTCTTCATCTAATGTGAAGGGTAGGATTTCAGCAGACTCTGGGGGTTTTCTGTGATTCTGGCTCACTGTAGAACCCCAGCACCTCTGAGTTGTACGTGTCTCTGCATCTGACTTCAGTGAGGGAAGCAGCAATATTCCCCTGCTCCCCAAGTGACAGGAATCCAATGCTTGAGCCCTGAAGGGAGGTGTTGTGTGTGTGAGTAGGGATGTGAGTGCTCCGATGTGTACACCTAGGACTGGGGTTGGGGGAAGTGTCGTTAAAACGAGAACTGAGTTGTCAGAGTTCAGGGTGGGGCAGAGGATGGATGGGGAAAAACAGGCAGGGAGAGGAAAAGAAAGGAAAATAAGAAATCAGGGAACAAGAGAGAGAAAAAGAGAGAGAGGAGAGAAGGAACAAGATGGGGGACAGAGCAAAAGGGGCAGAGAAGGGAGAGGGTCCAAAGAAAGAGTGAAAAAGTTTGCATGGAGGCAAGAAGAAAAAGAGAGACCACGAGATAGGAGGAGTCAGGGAGAATAAAAGGAGAGAGAGTCAGAAAGCACCCATCATGCTTCTCCATCCCCCCCAAGACTTATGCTTATTATGTACAGTTTTCTGGAAAGCAAGTGTCACGAGGGCTGGTTCCGCGAATGACTCATTCCTCATTTCTAGTCACACACAGAAATCACGTAGACAAGTAAATGAATAAGCGTAGGAAATAGAAACAGACAGACAGGGATAAAGGGAAGAGTGGTGTGGGCAAGAGAGTGGGTGAGACAGAGGGAGGATTATCAGCTCCGGAAGCCCTGGCTCCCCTGGCTAGGTGGGACATGGCGTGTGCAAGCGTGTTCGGTGACGCGACACAAGGAAGATGTTTGCGTACCTACCTAGGGTGGTGGGTCCAGTACTACTCGCTCCTTGGTAGAGCACCCAGACCATAGACTGTCACCCATCCCAAGGATCATCCTATTGGCTCCGCCTCCGAGAGCCTTAAAACGACAGGGGTTCTCCCCCTCTACCCCTGGCCAGTCTTTCCTTCAGCTGGGACACCATGAGCCATGAGGAGCCATCCAGAGCCACCTGGTTCACTTCTCTTTCCTTCTTTGCAATGGCCCCTGTCTCCTTTCCTTTTTATTCTTGGTGCTTCCACCAATTTTGTTCACTCTAAAATGATGTGATGTCAGATACCATTTCCTGAGACAAACCTCGGAAAGTCTTCTGGGCCCTGTTTCTGGATCACAGAGGCTCTTCTTTTCTGTAGGACTTCCTGAAACTTAAAGCCTATTCAGTTATCTGTCATCCTGGTTGCTCACTGTCTCCAGGTTTCTGGGAAGATTGAAAAAAAATCAAGAGTCAACAAGGATACTTAGGTAAATTATGCAGACGACTAAGAGCAAAAACAAACACATAATGATAATTATATTCCTATTGCAGGAGGGATCAGTGACTCAGTGACCAGTTTACTGAAACCTCTCTCAGGGCTCTCTCTCTCTCTCTCTTTTTTTCTTTCCCTGTTCTGGAAACTTTTTATTGTTGCTTCAAGTTTAAGAATTTTTACTAGCCAGGCTCGGTGGCTCAGCCTGTAATCCCGCGCCTTTGGGAGACTGAGGTGAGTGGATTGCCTGAGCCCACGGGTTTGAGACCCGCCTGGGCAGGCGAGACCTCATCTCTACAATAAATCAAAAAATCAGCTGGGCGTGGTAGCGCGTGCCTGTAATTCCAGCTACTTGGAAGGCTGAGGCGGAAGGATGGCCGGAGCCCAGCAGGTCGAGGCTGTGGTGGCTGGGAGCGGCCACTGCATTCCAGTCTGGGCGACAGAGTGAGACTCCAACTCAAAACAAACAAAAAAAAGAATTTTTACTGATGATAGAAAATCAACATTTTTAGATAATCTCCCGTATAGCCCTGCTCGGTTTCTGAGTCTTGATTTGCAGACATGTCGACATATTTCTCTCCAATATGGACAATCAATCCACCCATAACTGGCAGAGAAGTCTTCACCTCCAATTTCAATACTTGGCCTTGACTTAGGAAGCTCCTTATGACTGCTTTTAATTCAGTGAGAGTGGATTCTTCTAAAGGAGATACAGTGGTCACCGGGCAAGTTACTTCTCCACAGTGGACACTCATCATGGTAGAAAAAGCAGAAATGACCTCTTGGGTATTGCTTAAGTGGCCATTTTCAGCACGCAAATCAATCAGGTTGGATGTGAGGGGAGAGAACCTCTCTTTTGCTGTGACATCATTTAGGCTTTTCACTTTAACGGAACACTTAACATAGAGATTTAAAATAGAAGTAGACACCTTGGGTTTCTTCAGGAGTTACAGTTCTCAAAAACTCCTTTGTTGCAGCTTATTCTGTGTTGGTGCAGCAGAATACAGAGCAGTGGCACAGTGACCTTCAATACCATATATCTGAACAGGCGGCCTCACAAACTTGGAAAATGGCCTGGCCACAGATGTCCTGAAGCATCGTACCTGCCGGGAAAGACCAGACTCTGCTGGGGTGGGCATCTTCTCCCGGGAGGCTATAGGTCCCTCCCTCAGGGTTCTTAAAAGCCTCACCACAGTGTTGTTACTGGGTCAGTCCCCTTTGGGGCTTGGAAAGTTTCAGTGTAAGTTGTGGAGATGACTTAGTGACGCAGTATTCATCCTGCCTGACTCTCTGCACTTCCTCAAATGAACTTTGGGATGTCCAGGTCCTAACTAGTTCCCATTGGAAGCAGTGAGTAAATTAGAAAATCAGATATGTCCCAAAGAAGAACAGAGCTTAGAGGCATGGAGAACCCAGTATCACCCTGTGACCCTTATATGCTTAGTGCAGAATAGTCTGAATAATAATACTGTTCAATCTGGAACACTGTAAACATGAATCTTGCTTTTATTTTCCACCTGAGCAAATATGCGTGGTGTTCACAGGAGTATGCTTTGACAGAGCTACCATTTATTTTTCTTCCCAAGGTTGTTTTTTTTTTTTAACTGCCCCTTTTTTTTTTCTAAAGCACTTCTATGGCTTATTTTCTTTCTACTTTTCCTTCTTCTTGGGCCAGTCTTATGTCACCTTCTAAACATGTTCTCCTCCCAGTTGCAGGACTTCCCTGCTTCCCTTTGGGGAGGCTGTATATAGTCTTGGAATCCAACTCACATGCTGCTCACCAAGCTATGTGCTGTGGCATGGGGCTGTATCCACCCAGAGAAAATTTACACACTAGGACTGTCCCCTCTCCAAGCTGGTGACCCTGAAAAGCAATCACCCAGAAAAAAAAAGAGGTGCCTTCTTCCAACTAGTAGAAAGATGCTGAATGGGCTAACGGTGATCATGTCAGACTGGTTGGAATTTAGTGTGGGTGTAGGGTGGAATTAGTGGGAATTAAGTGGGTTCCATGGCTGAGTGCCTTAGTCTGCCTTGGCATTATAGGGTTTAATGCCAAGGAGGGTCATAATCATGAAACACCAGAACGGTTACTTTTTCTCTCTTTTTGCTGAATTCACAGATTCAGCTTGAGGGAGTTCAAAGTGCCTTATGCTAAGACCCTCCAGCACAAACCTTACAAGGTTGATGCAACGTGAGGTAAATAACAGATGAGAAAGAGTGCTGAAATTTGGAGACCATTTTCCAAATATATAGCATTATTGTTACTACTGATACCATGGATCCTGGAAGACTTTCTCGGCATGAAAAGCCCCCTACTTGGGTCTGTCACTAGCTGTTCATTTTGTTGGTTAAGGCAATATTTCTCAAATTAGTGTGACCGTTAGATGTATTTGGACCAGTTGTTCAGAAATACAGCTTCCCAGGCTCTACCCCAGGCCAAGTCGGAATTTGCAGGGGAGCTTGGAATTTTGTATTTTTAACAAACTTTTGAAGACATTCTTATGATCAAGCAAGTTGAAAAATGAAGGACTAGGACAACTCCTATTTTAAGGTCCCTGGCACATCAAACACACGGGAAGTGAAGGAATGGATGGGGGTGGCGGTTTACAACAGAACTGCCTTTTCCAGTCCCTAATAGTGTATGCAGTACAGTGTTTCTTCAAGTGTACTATACAAAAGAATGACTCTTCACTTTTGTTAAGAATGCAGATTCTTGTACCTTCTCCTGCGCATATTCCCACCTGGCCTGATATTCTGATTTAGTAGATTTTGAGGCCAAGCCTGGATATCTACATTGAAAAAACCATCACAATGAACAATTCTGATGTTCGTGGTTCTCAGGCCTCATTCTGAAAAGCATTAGCTTCTTGTCCATCTATTTCTCAGGTCATGATAAGTCAGTTCCCAGAGACACTTTGAAGGTGTGAAACAGAAAAGTTTCGATGGAGCTAAACAGAGAGATGCAGCTAGTTCCTTGACATAGCACATCCTCTGAGACAAGAGCTTAAATATTAGAATTTGGAGAGGAAAGCCATTTCAAGGAAATTGGGATGGGGCTGAAATGTTCTCTTCCCCACCCCATCCTCTTCTTTTGCAGAAGAAGGTATGAAATTGGCTCTGACGCAGCAAGAAAATGTGGAAAACACACGAAAGAGGGTGAAAGAAGAGGGACGTCTTGTTCAAAAGGCAGCGGAGACCACTGTGAATGAGGCCAAGAAGCACAAACCCCCAAAGCAACTCTTTCCACACTCACAGCTTTTCAAGCAATGGGGCCAGGATCTTTCTGAGGCCCAGCAGAGAAAGGCCCAAGACCTCTTTCAGAAGTTTGGTTACAACGTGTACCTCAGTGACCAGCTACCCCTCAATCGCACCATCCCTGACACACGAGATTCCAGGTGGGATGGACCAGGGTTGGGCTTCTAAGGGCCTCAGTTTGATTTGGGGATGAGCTCTGGGGCCATGAAAGTGGAGGGCAGGGGGCGTGGGGAACTGATGGTGATGGGTTCAGGCTGACGGAGTAGAGTTCTTGTTTTTAGTCCATTTGTAATGATAGCTCAGGGAAGATAACAGACGGAGGCAAATATTTACAGCCCCTTGGAGATGAGCAGAGATGTCAGCGCAACAGACACCCTTTGAAACTTTGATCAGAGAAACGGAGGCGCTGGATCTAACTAATGCCTTAGTTGAGAAAACTGAGACTGGGAAGGAATCTGTGCAACTAACTCCAAAGTTAGCAGCTCTGCTTCCTCCTCCAGTGCTTTCCTCAGATTTTCTTCTTGGATTCCTCTTTACTATTAAATCTACTTTGAAGAACTTTCTTTCTCTTTCGCCTCTGTTTCCTTTTTCCATTGTGTGTGTGTGTGTGTGTGTGTGTGTGTGTTTCTCTTTCTCTCTCTGCTATCCTCCTTCATAATATTTTTTTGGAAACAGCTTTGTAGAGATATAATTCACACACCATGCAATGCATTTATTTAAAGCATAACCATGTAAAGGTTTTTAGTATATCCACAGAATCCCTTATCTTCCCCACAATTGTAAAGCGTTTTCATGACTTTGAAAAGAAACCCCATTATCAGCCTCTCCTCCTTTCTCCACAACTTCCTCATCCTAGGCAATCACTGATCTGCTTTCTGTCCCTATGGATTTGGTCATCCTGAACTTTTCATGTAAGTAGAATAATATAATATGGGGTCCTTTTTAGCTGGTTTTTCCACTCACCATAATGTTTTCAATGGTCACCCATGTTGTAACATGTATCAATACTTCATTCCTTTTTAATGTCAAATAATAGAATCCATGTGGATATACCACAGTTGGTTTCTCTGTTCATCCGTTGATGGGCATTTACATCGTTTCCGTTTTTGACTAGTATGAAACAGCTGCTGTGAATGTTCATGTACAAGTTTTTGTGTGAACAAATGTCTTCATTTTTCATGGGTTTTCCCTAGGTGTAGAATTGCTGGTCCATGGAATAGTTCTATATTTAACCTTTCAAATAACTGCCAGACTGTTTTCCAAAGTGACTCCGTCATGTGGTGTTCCCTCCAGCAGCGTATGAGAGTTGTGATTTTTCCACATGCTCACTCACTTTTGTTATTGCTTGTCTTTTTAATTATAGCCATCCTAGTGAGTGTGAAGTGATATCTCATTGTGGGCTTGGTTTAAATTTCCCTGAGGCCTCACAATGTGGACTCCTTCACATGCTTATTGGTCATTTGTATACTTCTTTGGAGAAATGTCTATTTGAAGATTTTCTCCTTAAAAAAAAGGACTATTTATCTTTTTATTGTTGAGTTGAGAAGTACTTTATATATTCTAGATACAAATTCCTATTAGAAATATAATTTGCATGTGTTTTCTTTCATTGTGTGGGTTGTCTATTGACTTTCCTGATGGTTTTCTTTGAAACACAAGAGTATTACATTTTGATAATGTCTAATTAATCTTTGGTTGCTTGTGCTTTTGGTGTCATACTTATGGGACCATTGCTTAATGCAAATTCACAAATTTTATGCATATTTTCTTCTAAAAGTTGCATAGTTCTAGTTTTAAGTTTAAGACTTTGGTCCACTTTAAATTAATTTTGCACACAGTGTGATAAAGAAGTCTAACTTCATTCTTTTGTGTGTGGCTATCTAGTTGTCCTAGTATCCTTTGTTGGGTAAATTGCCCACTTACCTCATTGAGTTGTCTTGGCACTCTTGTTGAAATCAATTAGCAATAAATGTAAGGGTTTATTTCTGGGTATCAATGCTATTTCATTGACCTATAAAGTCTATCTTTATGCCAGTTTGATGACAGTTGTTTTGTAGTAAGTTTTGAAGTTGAGAAACATGAGCCTTCCAATTTTCTTCTTTTTAAAGATTATTTTGTCTATTCTGGGACCATACATTTTCATACGACTTTTAGAATCCTATAAATTTTAATATGTTGTGTTTTCATTTTCATTTGTCTCAAGGTACTTTAACATTTCCCTTTTAATTTCTTCATTGACCTATTGGTTGTTCAGGAGCGTGTTATTTAATTTCAATGTATTTGTGAATTTTCCAATATTCTTCCTATTATTGACTTCTAGTTTCATACTGTTGTGGTCAGAAAAAATACTTGCTATAATTTTAATCTTCTTAAATTTGTTAAAGCTTATTTTTCTCCTAACATATGATCTATCCTGGAGAATGTTCCTTGTGTACTTGAGAAGAATGTGTTTTCTGTTGCTTTTGGATGGACTGTTCTGTGTATGCCATTTTACTCCTCTGACTGTATATTTTCAAATAATCCATCTTTGAGTTCAGAGCTTAATCAATTCTGCTGTTGATGCTTTCTATTGCATTTTTCATTTTGTTAATTGTGTTTTTCAGCTTTATAATTTCTGTCTTTTAAAAAACTAATTTCAATCTTTCTGTTAAATTTCTCGTTTTGGTTATTTGTTGTTTTTCTCATTTCATTTAACTGTTTTAATGGTTTTATTTTTTGAATTTTGCTGAGCTTCCTTAAAACAGGTATTTCAAATTCTTTGTCAGAAAGTACATACATCTCTTTTTTTTTTAGGATCAGTTATTGGAGCTTTATTTTGTCCCTTTGGTAATGTCATATTTCCCTGATTCTTCTTGACCCATATGGTCTTCTTGATCCATATGTGTCTGCTTGTTTGAATACAACAGGAACCTATTTCCGTCTTCACAGGCTGTCTTTTCTTTTAAAGATGTGGGGTACAATTCAGGGGTAGGTATACAAATGTTCATTATGCAGGCACCCCTCCCTCTCCTGGCAGTTTCCTTTAACTGTCAATCCCATCCCCCCTCCCCTGGCAGGTTCCCAGTACTGCCAATCCCTTTCTAATAGTATTATGATAATTGTTCAAGGTCCGCTTATGAGAACATATGGGACTCTGTTCTTTGTTTTTGTGATAGGTCACTGAGTATGATCAATTCTAAATCCAACCAAGTTGCTGCGAAGTCCATATGTGGTCCTTCTTTATGGCTGCATAATATTCCATTGTGTATATGTACCACATTTTTAAAAATCCAGTCCAGTTTGGATGGGCAGTGTGGTGGGTTCCAGGTTTTTGCTATTGTAAATAGAGCTGCAACAAACATGCATGTGCAGATATCTTTTTTGTAGAATGATTTGAGTTCCTCCAGGTATATTCCCAATGGGGGGGGGAGTGCTGGGTCATAGAGAAGGTCAATTTCTAGTTCTTTCAGAAACCACCACGCTGTCTTCCAAAGAGATCGCACTAGTTTGCATTCCCACCAGCCGTGTAGAAGCGTTCCGTTTTCTCCACATCCTCACCAGCATCTGTTGTTGTTTGTTTTATTAATGATGGCCAAATTCTTACTGGGGTTAGGTGGTATCTCAGTGTGGTTTTGATTTGCATTTCTCTGATGATGAGTAAGGCTGAGCACTTTTTCATGTGTCTGTTGGTTGCTTGTATATCTTCTTTTGAGAAGTGTCTATTCATGTCTTTTGCCCACTTTTTAAAGAGGCTGTTTGTTTTTTTCCTTTCAGCATGTTTGAGTTTCTTGTAGATCCTAGATGTTAGGCCTTTGTCAGATATACAGTTGGCAAATATTTTTTTCTTATTCTGTGGACTGTCTCTCTGTTTTCTTGATGGTTTCTTTGACTTTGCAGAAGCTCATCAGTTTGATGAGGTCCCACTTGTCTATCTTACTTCTTATGGTATGGGCATAAGAAAAAAGGTAATGCGCTCCTCCTTGTATGTTTTGTAGAATTCTGCTGGAAAGCCATCTGGTCCAGGGCTCACAAACTGGCTTTATCTGTAAAAATATTTCAGTCCATTCAGAGATTTTGAGCAGTCTTTCCAGCGTGGTCCATGAGTGGGCTTGTTGCTGGTGTTCCCAAGCTGACTGGCCTGGGGCGGACCTGTTAATTGGATCTCCTGGAGTGGACTTGGAACTGAGGTTTGACTTTATGCCCTGGATCCACAGAAGCTGGCCTGATGTTGGAGTCGACCTTGAGTTTGAATCTGCAGGGATTCACCAGTTACTGAGAGGAGCCTGCAGACATGTGCCTTCTGAGATGAGGACCCTCAGGGCTGGCATGAAGCCTAGATCTGCCGGGGTGCTCCTGGAGTCTCAGACTGTGGAACTGGTCTGGTACCAAGATCCATTGGGGTGGCTTTGAACCCTGGGTCTGCTGGAGAAGGCCTGGACCTTTAGTCCACTGGAGCCTGGGGCCACCGGGGCTGGCCTGGTGCTGAGTATGGTCTGGAGCCTGGAGTTGCTAAGATCAACATGATGCTGGGGTGGACTGGAGATTGAGTCTGCCATACAGGCCTGGAACCTGAGGCTTTGGTGCTGGGGTGGGCCTGGTGGCTCAGTCTGTGGCTGTTCACTTGGAGTGTGGGACCACGGGGCCTTGCTGGTGCTGGGTTTTATGGAGGCAGGCCCGGTGTTGGTGTCCAAGACCAAGTCTGATGCCCATTTTTGCTTCCTCCCCCTAAGCAGAGGGTATCTCTTTCTGTGCTGTGCTGCTTGAGGTTGGGGAAGGGATGACACAAGTAATATAAAACTGTCTTTTCTACCTTCTTCAATATATCTTCTGTTTCTTTCTTTCCTTCTTTTTTTTTTTTTTTTTTTGAGGTGAGTTCTCACTATATTGCCCAGGTTGGATTATAGTAGCTATTTATATGCATAATCATGGTACGCTACAGCCTTGAACTCCTGGCTTCAAGTGATCCTCCTGTTTCAGTCTCTTGCATAGCTGCGGCTACAGGCATATACCACCACATTCTACTTGACCATGTATAATTCTTTCTATTTGTTGCTGGAGTTGGGTTGTTAGTATTTTTGTTGAGGATTGTTGTGTCTCTAAGAGATCATTGTTTTTCAGTTTTCATTTCTTGTAATATTTGTGTCTGGTTTTGATATTCAAG